GCAAATATTTTCTGATAATTGTATTTCCATGTAAGGTTTTTATTTGTTTAATTTAAGACGTCAGCGTTGAGAAGTTCTACCGGAAGATTTTTTGACAGATGATATAATTTTTTGAAATGGACTGAATAATAAAAATTTTAATCCTCTTTCCTGGGTTTTTTTGTCGGATTTTAATTTATATAGGTATTAAATTTTGAGGTTTTTCGAACAATAGTGAATTACAACAATAAAAATTTTTTTGTTATATTTAATTATTAAATTTAGTATATTAAAAGTCAGTTATGACGGTAGTGACTATTTTACTTACTAGAAACTATTATATTTCATTAGAGAGATATCGAAAAGTAGTGAACTACAATAACAAACTTTTTTTTGTATTATTTTAATTAATTGAATTTTAACCTGACCATATAGCTGTTTCGAGTATTGTCAAATACCCATCTTCACTGATCTTGGAATTAATTCTTATATTTAATTATTTGTAAATAATTTTTTGAGACTGCAAGTACTAAGGGTTGATCTAGAACTCTGCCAAATTTGGAGCTCAGAATAAGCGTTCATGAGCTGACGCAAAGCTGTACTTAACTTGTATGTATGCTTTCGACATTTCATTATGATTTATGAGATTTATCTCATTGCATTTCAAATGAGGAAATTTATTTTGTAAACAGTTTCACTTAATGGTACAACATTTTTGGAAAAGGTTAAAAACAAACTGCTTTCATAACAAATTTGCATTATGTTTAAGTAAAGTTGACTCTCAGTTTTACAAAAGATTTGTCAATGCCTTACTTTATTTGGAATCCAACATTCGTTGTTGAGAGTGAATGTTTTTGGTGTGTTTGTTCTTCACAAGTACATTATTTGATTCTTCCCTATTCAAAGTGTTCATTATATCGCATATACCAAGCGTTTACTGTATTGTAAGCAAATACTACTAAGTATATACAAAGTTTTTATTTACAATTCAATGTTTGCAATAAGAATTAAAATATATTATTATTTTTTTTTAAATTTTTTTTTTATTTTTAGGTTTTGGTATCTGAAATATGAATTAAGACACTCGATAAGGAAAAAACACCAGATCAAAATGACATGAAACGAAACTAAAAACTATTAAAACCACGCAAACAAAATTAAATACGAAAGACACGAAAACTCAGTCCAGAGTTTTTTGTTCAAATTAAACTTGAAACAATTGCAGACCAATTGAATTAATTTTTATTTAATATTATTTTTTTTCAACTCAGATTTGTTGAATTTACTCACGCCGTTGACGTTTAGTGTTCACCTTGACTTTGTACAAAGTAACAAACCAAGTAGCAAGATAACTTGGTTGAGATAACAACAACAAAAACTACAACAACAACAATGGTAGTGGTAGTGACGGTGGCAGCAGCAGCAGCAGCAGTAACAAATAAAGTGTGGAATATGCTGCTCAAATATATAAACAAATAAATAAAGTACACATAAAGTACAAAAAAATTAAACAACAACAAAACGAAATAAGCCTTAGAGACAAACACACAAACACACCACACACAAATGAATAAACGAATAAACCTCAACATCATAAACAGCAGATAAAAATAGTTGAGATAATTTAAATAGTGGCAATGCTGGAATCCAAAGTTATTCTAGTCTAGTTAAGTATAGACTATTAAGAATTAGATTAGCAAATGGAAAAAATCCATGAAACGGAAAAAAAGAAGATTTTATTTTACGATAATTAAAAAGTAGTTGAAAAGTAGCAAAACTAGAAATGAGGTTGAATTTTTTATTTATACATTTTCGGATTTGCAATGGCACTGCGCGATGTGCGATGTGAATTTTTTGCGTGTAGCAGAAACGAATGAGTAAGGGATTTTTTTTTTGAAACTCAAAATAAATGGGAAATTGTTTGCCAAAAGTACAAAGTACTGAGAATTTATAATGGCTTATAAGGGTTAAAAGCTTATTCATCTAATTTTATACTTTGAAATTATAGTAGATCGTTAGATAAGAAAACAGGAAGTAAACAAATTCAATTTGTGTTTTTTTTAATAAAACAATTTGACAAATCACTCATTTAAATTTTGAAAAAAAAAAAACTTAAAATGGACCTAACGTAAATAACTACTCATATCACGATTTCTATCCTACTTCACGACATTGGCCTGTTGTGGATGAAGCTCTTCTTATTAGTTAAATAGATAAATATAGATAAATGACTTTAAAAATCCAATATAACGTTGACTATAAATTGAATTAATATATTCGAAACTTTATATTCCAACAAGTTCTCGGCTATAACAGGGCTAACCTGATTTCTACTAATGCACGTTTTTTCTTTAGATCATTTCGAGGGAATTGAGATATCTATATTAAAACAAAAGAAAACTTTAAAACAGTGAAGCACTTTAAGGATCTTGAGATATCTAACTAAATAAGACTATTTAAGCCAAAACTAATAAAAATATTTTAACGATGTTAGACAATATATTTTCCAAGCACAAGAAAAGTTGTTTAAATAATTTTTTATTAATAATTTTTTTTATATTTTTTCTTTTTATGATTTTTGTGTTAATATTTGTTTTTAATAATTATAGTTTTCCTATTCATGAGTAACCATAAATTGTGTTAATATATTTTTGGAAAATATATAGTTCATACTGGTACGGTTTTAATAGCGATTCTAGTAATTCATTTAGCCTGCTAGTTCATTGTGTTGCAGTACAAAACTTAATACAGATATTCTTTAAGAAAAGATCTTTCCTTTTGTAGGGTCCTCTAGAAGTGAGTCCCTAGCATGTAGAATCTCTATTTCGCATCCACTTGACTGCACAAAAGTAAACTTGAAACAATTTTTCGTTCAAAAAATATGTATTTAAAAATATATTTAAAAATATTTGAAAATTTAAATAAATTTTTAAATTACTATATTGAGCGAAATAATAAAATCCCAAAAAAATAATTGCTCTTTATTCACATATAATAATTTTTTCTATTTTATCCACATAACTTTTGATCATAAAAAGTGATGTGAATAAATAAATAAATAATATAAATTAAAATTACTACAAAGTTTGATTAATAAAAGTTAATAATCCCAAAAAATTCTAATTTACACAGGCTGTTAGATGTTTTATCTATTATTTATTTGTAAGCTATTGAATTTCGAGGTTCTAATAAAGCTAATAGGCACACATAAGTTACTGAAATATTTTTGGAAATATGTTTCTAGTTTAATAAGTCTATTTTCTACGTAATTAATAAATTAATAAAAACCTATATGATCCTTTAGCATTAATCTATACATCATCTTGTGCTGCTCTAATATCAAGAAAGTACAGAAATTATAAAAAACAAACTACTTGGATAAGAAACCGATAATCCGTGGTAATTTAAAAACTTACATATCCACAGAAATATCACAATCCCAAAAGTTACTGATGTTACAGCTATATACTACTAACAATACAAAACAAAATTATATCAGCATTGTAGTCCAATGGTGCAACGCGTACTTCCCGGTCCCATGGTATCCAGGAAAAGTTGTCATACCAACAAAGTGACAGTATATCCACAATTCTTCTAAATATTTTTTTTTCAGCATTTTTTATGTCTGTTTGTTTTTTATCCGTTTATTGCATACGTGTAATTTTAGTAAAAATGTTGAATTACTAGTGAGAATAATACAATTTTACTATTCTAGGGCATTTTTTCTTTGAGGATTTTGGCCAAATCCAAAACCTCGCCTCACGTTTTTTTAAGTGTCTGTTTGCTCTATATAGTAACACAAATCCAAAGTAAATCCTTCTGATTGTCGGTATAACCTAATCCAACCTAAAGATATAATAAAAAGTAACATTTGTTTGTTATTCAGCCCATGTTCTTTAACAACAACAACAGGGTGAAAGGAACCTTTATATTTAGATTACCAAAGCTATTTCTCCTTAGTAAACTATTTTAATGGATAATTTAAGAGCACTGCTTTTATTTGTGCTTGTTTTTTGGGCATCATGGACTACTAAAACAACAACAACGTGGTATGAAGACCCATATTTGGGTTACTAGACCACTACTTCGTTTTAGTGCTTGTTTTATGAGACACCATGGAGTATAAAAACAACTACAACATGATACGAAGCTTCATATTTGGGTTACCAGAGCCATTTTTCCTTTGCTAGCTATTTCATAGTATGAGCTACAAAAACAATAACAACATGGTAAGAAGCTTGATATTTGAGGTACTAGATCACTACCATATTTCCTTATCCGCTTATGTTTCAAGACCTCATGGGCTACAAAAACAACAACAACATCATACGAAGTTTCATATTTGGGTTACCAGAGCTATTTTTCCTTTACAAGTTATTTTAATAGACAGTTTAAAAGCACAATTTTTATTTGGGTTTGTTTTTCGGGACATCATGGACTATAAAAACAACAACAACATGGTAAGAAGCTTCGTAATTGGGTTACCAATGCTCTTTTTTAATAATTCAATCGTTTTTAGAATACTTTACTTAACAATTCGTACTTTTAATTAATCGATTATAGCATATTTCTTAGTTCAAGGTAAATCAATTTCTGATTGTAACTTAACGTATAAGAATTACTCCAGGAAAATAGCAAAAACCTTGCTATATTCATTAACTGATTAAGTGAATGTCATTAAATGGATAGAATGTTAAAAGTTATAAAGAGCTCAGTACTAATTCTATTTTGAGCAAATACTGGTGAATTGCTACCGGCGACATAAAACCTTCGATAAAGCCATTAAATGTAAATGTCTGGTTGAGTCTTTCTTCATTCACATTGTCTGCGTATTCATCTCAGATGAGCTAGATTTTGAGATCTTAACTTCGTGTTTCATCTTTTCACTTTCTAATATTGAAATTCAAAATCCAAATCAAAATCAAAACAGTTTATAGTTTTCTGAGTTATGGCAACAAGTTTTGTGGAAAAAAGTGGCACAATAAAATTAATTTCTGTAGATAAAAAAAAAAATTATTTACCTATTTCGCACTTTAAACAGTTCGCAGAAGACAACGAAAATTGGCGTAGATAAGCGCCTTGAGGCTCTGCAATTTTGTTAAATGGTGAAAATTATACGATTTTTTTTCACTTTGTTATTTATTGAAGCACGCAGATTTTTATTTGCACAATCTAGATTTTTATTTTCTACTTTAAGTGGCAATTTTTTATAATTTATACAAATTTATTATATTTTAAATAATTTCGACGGCTGCTATAAAAAGCTGATCATTTCTTGTTTTTCTTTTTTGTTGTTTTTTTTTGTTTTTTTTTTTTTTGGTTTGTTTTTGCAATTAACTGTGTTGCTGAACTGTGGTAAGGGCAGTCCACAGCAAAAAAAAAACACAAAACCGAAAAGACAAGTAACAGTGTAGACTTTCGTTGCTGTTGTTGTTGTTGGTTGTTTTATGTGAAGTTTTGCTTCTTGACAGCTGTTCAAATACAAAGTGAAGACGTTAGCACACTGCCGTCGTTATGACTTCAATTGCACATATTTAATTTATTTTATTTTATTTTATTTTATTATTACTTTTTTTTCTGCTACGTCTTAATTTTTTCCAATAATTGACACTGACATAGTTCGTACGAGTATGAAACTGTGAAACTGTAAAACTGTGCACAAAGTACTAAACTAAATTAAATAAAACACTTTGCTTTGTACGTATTTACACTTAATATCGTTTAAATATATGTTAAATTAAGCAAAAAATTAAAATATTTTCGTTGAGAGACATTTTTAAATTTTTACAATTTAGTTAAGTGAGGTGAGAAGCCACAGTCAGCAACCAACCACTTCTGTCTTTCCTTTGTTTACTTTTGGTATAATTTCTGCAGTTACGTGGTAACGTAAGTCTTCAACCACTTGACGCCTTACACTTGTGTTGGTGTACGAATGCCAAGCAAAAAACACAAAACAAAACTTTTAAATTTTAGCAACGAAATTTAAGCCGAAAAAGAGTAATTAACATTTTTTGTACTTTATTTAGTTTTTGTTTTACTATTGTGAACAGTAAAAAGATAATGTAGAAACAAAGCACTTTGAATATAATCGCAAAAAAATGAATATTAAATATTTGCAAATATAATACTTTAACACGTTATATCTGCCGTACACACAAGCAAAAATAATCAAAAATGAATTTGTTGCCAAAGTCAACACACAAAACTAACCCGCAAACTCATCTACACTTTTAAACAGTCGCCAAACAACTGAACTTGTGGAAGTCAACTACAGTGGTTGAGTGCTGGCTGTGTTGCTCCACAAAGCATGAATATTAAAACACAAAAAAAACACAAAAAAGAAAAAACAACAAACTAAATAAAAACACTAACAGCAGGTATATGTGGAAAACAAAAACAAAATCTCTACAAAGTTGTGCTAAGGTGCAAAAGACCGGTTCTTACTCAGTGTTTTGGCAGAGCGCTTATACCTCGTTCCTCGTTCAATGCATTGAAGCAAAAGCACAACAGAAAGCTAAGAAAATACAAGAAGGGACAACTAGGCAGCATGTGAAGACATACATTGGCAGCAGCAAAGCAGCAATAGCAACAACAACTGCAACAATTGCAGAAGCATAACAATTCTCGTGGTGCACAAATGCAATACACAAACACAAATGTTGTGTGGCAAAGTCAAAATTTTTCTAATTTCCATATTCAAAGATTTTTACCTGTGGACTGAGCCAACCGCTACGTGAGAGTATTTTGTTTTGGCTTTATTTTGTTTGTTTTGTGTGTGGAACTTATTTGATTTGAACGTGCGCCGCTGCTTATTGGAAACGTAAATAGCAGATAGCAGCAGCAGAGCGCGTTTGTTGATAAAAGAAGTTATGTTCTGCATGTTGATATGTTTTGATGCTTGCACTACTTGCATGCATTACGTTTAATGTGGTAGCAATGCCCGCGGGAATGGATGGGTCATATGATAATAATTAAGTCATAAGAAATAAATGATTAGATTAGAAGCGTTTACAAAATTATGGTTAAAAATTTTAATGGAAGTTATATGAGATTGAAAAATGTAAGCAGTACGTAGCAGAAAAAAAATCGTGATCGACAATATGTACGCACTCTGTACTATCAACTGGAAACACTAATCGGGTTGGCGCGCATAGGATACTAAACACTGCCAAGAACGATTCACGTCTATAATGATCAACTAAATACTAAGTATAGATAAGTATTGAATGAAATCAGCACTTATTCAATTGGTTTTCAATATATAACTTTTCGAAATTTATGGTTTATGGTAATATCTATATACTTAATTACAAAAATATCTATAAAAATGCCGATAGCAGCGTATCTTATGATAGCGAACTTACTTAAATTCTTTAAAGATCGTACGCTATTATACCACAGAGAAGTCTTAAAGCATGCCAGCTAAAAGAAAGAATTTTAGATAAAGATGCCCCTGTTCAGAAACGGAAGAACGCCCTGCCCCATAACGATCTTAATGTAGATATTTCTGTGGTTGGATATGAAAAGAAGGGAAAAGGATTTAATGAGTGAAAGAATTTAAATAGAGATAACATACTTTAGTTTCGGAGTAGGTAAGCTGAGTATCGATTTTATATAGCTTACAATGTCTCTAATGCACACATTGGTGATATCGGTAAGATATTTAATAAAGGAAATAATTTCGATGGAAAGCGGGACTTAGGCATAATTGAGCCCCATAGCTGTCTTTCTTATTTTGGACTGTTATATTATACTAAAAATATTGATACAAATTTGCTAACACTTTACATTACATCATATATATTTCAGAAAGTGTGCTCATTAGGATAATTTTCTAATAAAAACTCAGTAACAACTAGTATAAGTCATGAAATAATCATTAATATTTTCATATATAGTTTTTCTTTAGTTAAATAATATAAATAATTTTAAAAAAAATAGACATAAATTAGAAATTATTTGGAAGAAAGACCAAACAATGTTTCATTAAATTTTTAAAAGAAAATTTTGACAGACTGACATTATTCTGAAGGGCTCATGCATATGCATAGCATGTACTTCATCTGGTATAAATTTAGAAGTGATAACGTTCATTAGAGTTCTAAAAATAGACTGACGTGTGCCACAGGTTGTATGCACCCAAATATGTTATTATTTAATTTCGTTTTATTGGATTTTTCTCTTTTCTTTTTCTTTTTCATTTTCATATTATTTTTGTTTTTCTTTTGCAAAAATACTTTTCTGCTTTAAAAATAGCAAAAACACTAGAAGCAATTTATCTGCCGGCAGAGATAATTGCATAACTGAGGACTAAGCACAAGCATAAGCATCGGCAAACGGGCATAGAATTATAACAGCGGCAGCGGCAGCAGCAGCAGCATAAACAGTGCAGCAGCAGAGACGAATCAAGCAATAACAAAAAACTGGTAAGGAAGCCGGCGTAGTGTGTATGCAACGCAGTGATCAAAGCAGAATTAATGAAAATGTAAGGAAGCACATCACACACCTGGACATAAATTTATTTAATTGATTGGTGCAGGGAGAAAATGGGCAGTGAACTAATAAAATAATTGCACTGATTTAAGTGCAATAACAACACCAACAATAATAGGGAATTTATTAGGTTGAGTGTTCCCAGTAAGATAATTCGAGGGCGGGCAGATTGCAAACGGAAATTTTATGCGCTGGAAGGTAAAATATGGCCAAAGTGTAATGTGAGCACAATTGGGAAGGTTAGCGAAAAGGTAAAGAGAACAATTTAAGTGGACAGAAATTAAGTGACTGTTGCTAACAAGAATTTTTCTTCAACTTCTGTTTTTTTTTATGTGTAAATTAAATTTTTTTAAATATTTTTTAAAATTAAATTCTTTGAAATTCTTACAATTTGTGTGTTCTTTAATTCTTTTTTAACATTTAAATAAAAATATATTTATTTAATCAATTTAATAAGAATCAGTAACATTAATTTATGTTCATTAATTATTCTTGTGTTGTTCTCATCAAAATCGAAAAGTCTTGGAATTAATACTTATAAGGTTACAATTAATATGCATCGTCTTATCTATCGAATCAGGTCTTCTAACCACAAGCAGCACTGCCTCTTCAGGTCGTATTGCAGTGCCTCCATACCTCCATAGCTCCATTGCAAGAACCACACGAAACAATCTTCACGGCACAAAGAATGCCTGAAACAATAGACTCAAAACAGCAACACCAACAACAAAAACAAAAAAACAACAACAGCAGCAGCAGTGCAAATGGTTTAAACTGAACGACAAAATTCGATAAGCAAAGACACCCACAAAGATCGTTTTTTTTTCTCTGCTCGGAATACCGAATTCGGATTGCGTCGCTTGACATACAGAAATGACAGTGAAAAGTGAGTCAGCGTTGAGTTGTAATTTTTTCATTTAAATTTTTCAATTTTTTAATTTTTTTACTGAAAATTAGTCACAACTAAAAATCTTATCGTAATTTATGCAGATTTAGCAGCATTCAAGCCCACAGCTCGGCGTTGAAGAAACTGCAAGCAATGTTGAAAAATAATTTTAAAAATATTTTAGGTACTTTTTTAGATGTCTTTGTGTGCGGATTATTTAGCTTCGCTTCGATGGGTGAACCACATCAAAGCGTGGTTTCGTTTGCCAATTTTTTTTCTTGCAGTGAAGACCTTGATGTGTTCAATTAATTGCATAATTAGAAAATTAAGTAATTAAACAATGAAGTCTGTGTGCTACAGTCGGTCGCATGTGGGAAAGAATATATACCGTATATGTATATACAAAACTAGTTTAATACTTAAATAGGTTCATTGTAGGTTCCTTGATTCTGTGTAAGTTGGTGACGACTACTGTATTTATACTACACTGTATATGTACAGTGTAGTATAAATATTTTGTATCCCAATTTTTACCTATTATAGGTTTTGACATATTTAAAAAATCTAAAAGTTAATCATGTTTCTGCTTAAATTTAGAGAAGTATCAATACGCCAATTTGGCATAAAGAACATACTAAACAAGAGCCCATTAAAAAAACTATATTAAAAGAAAATTTATTTCATTTATAAATCTATTCTGGTTCAAAAAATACCGAATTTAAATAATCTAATTTTAATTCTGCCACACTGTGCAGCAACTTGACTATTCCAATCATGTCGCGAAAATTTGTGAGAATGGAAGGGGATGTTTCTGTGCAGAGCTTCTCTAAAGAGGCAAATGGAGAAAGGCGACATTTATGAAAATCGTGTCTCAGGAAATTGTGCTAAAATAAAGGAATAGTAACCTCACTTGGTAAAAGAGATTGCTTAAAATCCTGCTCCTCCAAATGGAGGAAGAAAACGTATATGAAAACCATGTCCCAGGTATTGTAATTAATTTGAAGAAACAGTAACCTTACTTGGTATAAGATAATACAGTAAATGCACATCGACTAGATGCTTCTGGAAAAGAGGCGTGTCAAAACCATTTAATGGATAGTTATGGTAACTAAAGTAAATAATCTCTTTCTCAATTAGAATTGTAATTTGGTTTTCACATTTGTCTGATTTTAGTGCATTTCAAGTAGCGAAAAATATGCGTAGTAATAAAATTTCCTTCCTGAAATTTTTTAAATATCTTACAATTAAGAGAACAATTGTCCATATATAATTTTTGAACAATCACGCCAATAAATGTAAATGTTTTCTAATAATAAATTTTTGGCGATATTCGTAAGTCATAGTAATACTTGAAATACTTTAGTAGTTCGAAACAAATGATTTGTTTATAAATGTCTTATCTCTACTGAAGTAAACTCTATTGCTTTAATCAATTGACGTTAAAAAGAGAGAGAAAACCTTATTCTATGCAACCGAAATATCCGTATTTACCACAATTTACTTAAGGTGAACTCAATTAAATTTGTATTCAACTGTTTTCTAAGATGCATTTTTCACTTTTGTACTGTTGTCTATGTTACTGGCTATAGGGTGCATATCATCATTTACCCAAAAAATGTAATTTTTAATGCAAACTGCATACTCGTCAGATTATTCCGTTGAGCTCTGCTGGCTTTAAAGTTTTCAAAACGCCAACAACGCCAACTAATTTTTTTCGCAGAGATTTCCGATTGCACAATTCTTGTGAAAGGAGTTAGTCCGTAGGTTTGCGTTATCACTGAAACTTGAGTAGAAAAGCACCCACCACCACAAGTGCAGATATTAATTTTCAAGATAATTTATTTGTTTTGTTTTAAGTAAATTAATGTGTAAATTGTTTACTC